ATTTTTTATTTAAAAAAAAATTGATTAAAACTTCTTTTTTATTTTTAGCCAAAGTATAAATAATAACGATAAAAGAGTAAAATTTACTTTAAATTAAAAAGTTTGTCTGATAAAATATTGACCAAAACTACTGAAAATTGATATTTTTATTATAAAATAAAAGTTTACTCTGAAAATTGAACTTTTTTTTATTAAATAAAATAATTTATAACTTCTTTTAACTTCTACTCAAATATGGAAAATATTTGTATTCGGGGATAAAAATTTTTTTTTTAATAAAAGATGTTTCATCTGTCAACTTAAAAAATATAAAATCTTATAATACTTATCGGAAAAATATATTCTTCAATAAAGCATAAAATTACTAACAGTTATTTCACTGATTTGAATCTTGACTAAAATTGATTTTTAATACTGAAGAATTAAAAAAACATTAAAATTATTAATTTTAATAGAAAAATTATATTTCGGTTAACTTTTTCAATATGAAAATAAATTTTTTTTTCGATTAGTCTCGTAATTACAAATGGAATGATGTGTCTAGTTTTTCGTCGAGTTCAGCGAACGATTGAAGAGACGAAAGGAAAATCCTATTTGTTTCGGGGGGTCTCAAGGTGACAATGAAAATCGTACGAGGGTAGACGACGGGTACAGAGAAAGAGAGAGAGAGAGAGAGAGAGAGAGAGAGAGAGAGAGAGAGAGAGAGAGAGAGAGAGAGAGAGAGAGAGAGTGAGAGAGTGAAAAAAAAAATAAAAAGTGGGGTGCTGATAAAAAGCATGTTTCCCTTGGAGAGCACTTGGATAATTTTTCTAGTTTTCTTTTTTGCGAGACAAATACCTATGTATATAGTATATATATATATGTATACAACAACGACCCTTTTTCACTTGAAGCAAAAGAAAAGTATAGAAAACATTTAGTTACCGCGTTGTAAATTATTTTTCTCGACTTCTTGCACACTTTACGATTACAAAACAGAGTTCTAAGTCTTCATTACGAGTAAATCATGATTTATGGTTTTATTAAAAAAAATTACAAAAACAAAAAAAAAAGAAGAAGTGAGAGAAAGGGTGGTATAAAAAAGGCAGCGGAGATACGATTGAATTTTTACGAGGTTCTATGATATACGAATTTAATCACGTTTTGGCTCATAAAAAAATTTAGATTCATTTTTTTTAAATGCACGTTTTTAATTGAGAGAATTTTATTCTTTTGTAATAGTTACGGTTTATGTGGTGTATTTTTTTATAGATATGAATTCTTTTATTTAATTTTTATTATTTATATATCATGGAAAATAGTTAATAAGAGATAAAAAATTTGTGATTCATTATTTGTTAATAATATTGATATTTATTTATCAGCAAGTGTTAATTTTTAAACAGACTAAAAATCAGTCGGAATTTTTTCGATTTAAATTTAAATTTTATAATTATAAATAATTAAAATTTAATTATAAATTAAAAATAAATTTTTTTATTTATAAAATTTAAATTTAATTTATAATTTTATAATTTTATTTAATTTAAATATTATTTTTACTTTCTCTCAAGTATAAGTATCAGATTAAGGTTTTTAAATTATTGCAGTTTTCCCTGAAATAATTTTTAGTGAGATTTATTTTTCCTAATAACTGCAGTAGAAAATGACAGTTATAGTCATACTATATTTTTTTAAGTAAAAATATGGAACGTTTTCTCTTAACAAAGTTATAGTTGTAAAAATTCAACTTACTTTAATCTGTAGTGTAAGAAATTTAACAGTAAATTTTGATAAGTCTGACTAAAATCGAATTTTACTACTTGATTTGCTTTCGCGTTACTTATTCTAGTAGTTAAAATCGATTTTTCTTAACTGTTGTTTTTAAATATTTTAATCTTTGTAGCATCAGTAGAAAAAGACATTTTTAGTCAGACATGCGTAATTTTCAGTAGTTTTGATCAAAATTTAATCAGACAAACTTGAATTTAAAGTTAATTTTATCTTCTAATCGAAATATTCTTATACTTTAGCTAAAGTAAAAAAAAGTTATTACTAATCTTATTTAATAATTAAAAGTTTACTTTTTAGTAGATTTAGTCAATAATCGTTCAGACAGTTTCGAATTCAGGCAGAACTGAAATAAAAATAATATTTTTTCAGTCAATTATATACCTTTATATTCATGCTAAAGTTAGAAAAGTTATAAATAATTTAAGTTGCTAATAAAAAGTTTTGTTTTCAGTAGTTTTAGTCAATATTTGGTCAGACGGTTTGGAATTAAAAATACAAATTTGTCTGACTATCGTAATATTTTTATATTTTAGTCAAAATTTGAAAAAGTTACCTATAAATATTTTTAGTTGATTATAATAAAAACAGTTTAGTTTTCAGTAGTTTTTTATTTTATAATGAAAATTTCAATTTTCAGTAGTTTTGGTCAATATTTTATCAGACAAACTTAAAGAAAATTCTATTCTCTAATTGTCATAATTTATATTTTAGCTAAAGTTGAATAAAAGTTTATCTATTTTTTTAAAATCAAAATTCAGTTTTCAGTAGTATTGGTCAATATTGGTTCAGACAGGTGGGAAAATATAAACAATTTTAAATTTAAATTGTGATATTAGTTATATTCTACCAAATTTTTTAGCAAATACAATATTTAATTTTCAGTAGTTTTGATCAAAATTTAATCAGACGAACTTGAATTAAAAGTGTATTTTATCTTCTAATCGTAATATTTTTTATTCTTTAGCTAAAGTAAAAAAAAGTTCTAACCAATTTTATTCGTAAATAAAAAATTCAGTTTTCAGTAGATTTAGTCAATAATCGATCAGACAGTTTCGAATTAAAAATATAAATTTTTCTGACAATTGTATTATTTTTTATATTTTAGTCAAAATTTGAAAAAGTTACCCATAAATATTTTTATTTGATAATAAAAAGTTGAGTTTTTCAGTAGTTTTTTATTTTACAATGGAAATTTCAATTTTCAGTAGTTTTCGTCAATATTTTATCAGACAAAGTTAAAGTAAATTTTATCCTTCCAATCGTAATAATTTATACTTTGCTAAAGTTAAAAGTAAGTTTTAACTAATTTAGTTTTATAATAAAAAATCAATTTTCAGTAGTATTGGTCAATATTGGTCGGGACAAGTGGGAAAGTATAAACAATTTTAATTTTAAATTGTGATATTAGCTATATTCTACCCCATTTTTTAGCAATTGCAATCCTTAATCTTCAGTAGTTTTGGTCAAAATTTTATCAGACGAACTTGAATTCAAAGTTAATTTTATCTTCTAATCGTAATATTTTTTATTCTTTATTTAAAGTAAAAAAAGTTACAACTAATTTTATTTGACAATGAAAAGTTTACGTTTCAGTAGTTTTGATCAATATTGAGTACTTTTGATAATAAAATGTGTAATTATAAGTAGTTTTGGTCAATATTGGGTCAGACAATTTTTAACGGAAAGTATAATTTTAACTGTAATTTGTAATATTATATTTATATTTTACTCGAATTTTTAGAAATTGTAACTAATTACATTTGATAATAAAATTTGTAATTATCAGTAGTCTTGGTCAATAGTCGGTCAGAGTTAAAACAATTTTGTCGAATAAAATTGTTAAATTTCTCTTAAATATTAAGTGAATGCGTATTAATTATATGTAAAGGTTCCACAAAAATATTTTTTTCTTAGTTTTCAAATTTTCAGTAGTAAAAGTCACTGTTAGTCAGACTTTAAAAAAAAAATCACAAACTTTCAATAAGTTTGACATAAAACTATAACCTATACTACTTAAATTACTTCTTTCTCTATTTGTAATTTTTCAGTAGTATAAATCACCGCTATAGTCAGACTTTCCATTAATGGTACAGTAATTTCTTTGCTTAATTCTACAAAAAAAAAAATCTCGAATTAAAACAATCTTTTCCATCCGGAAGTAAATTTATTTATTCATTAAGGGGAAGAATAAACGGATTAATAAACATTTCGATCTTAATAAAATATTAAAAGTATTCTTTTATCAGCTATTTATAGAAAATTATAATCGAGGAAAAAAAACATTTGACGAAATTTATCTCCCCAATAACTGATGGTATATTTCTCGAGACAAGGTGTAAAAGCACGAAAATAAAAGCAGAGGAGGAAAACGAGATAGAAAAAAAGTGTTTCTTTCGTTTGCACGTTTACTAAATGGCTTCAAGATCTCTGCCACTCTCGAGGCTCTCTTTCCTGAATTTCGATTTTTTCTTCCACCTTTTTTCACTCTCGGGGTCGAGAGTTTAATTTTAAAAGTTCCCTCCGTTCAAGAACTATTACATGTTGTAGAAAATCTCCAAAAAAGTGGAAACATGTCTGTTTTTTTGACAGTAGAAAATAAAAAAGTTGCAAGAAGAAAAAAATACAGAATTCTATATACTGAGAGGGAGAAAAAAAGGGGGAAGGAAAAAAGGAATAAAGACAGAGAGAAAAAGAAGAAAAGAAGAAAAGAAAAAAAAATAGAAAGAGAGAAGGAACTAAAGATTATTAGACCTCGTTATCTCAAAGAAGCTGTACGTCCAAAAAATGTATCAAAAGATGGAAAAAGGGGACGAAAAATGAACGTTCAGAAATGAATCGTCGGATTTCTTAAGTTGAAGATAAGGAAATGGCCAAATGAGAAGAGAAAGAAGTGTACAAATGAAAAATTCCTACTTAAATGAGGGTTCACTTATTTTGCGGAACAAAAACTTGATAGTGTCGACGAGTATTCAACCAATTAACTTTTTAAGATTCTGATTTTCAATTAAAACAGAAAATCTCTTTTCTTTTTGTTCATCTTCTTCTCCTTCAAAAAATAAAAAAAAAACTCCAAAGTTTTTCTTTCAGACATGTATTTTTTTCCCCTCTCTCAACTTTTAAATGAAGAGCCATTTTTACTTTCGCCAATAGTAGAGTTAAGTTCTAAAAGGGGCTGAATGCAACTACTAAAAATAGATTTAAAAATAAATTGAGTGTTGAAAACTCACCCGAAAGGCATCACGAAGTTCTTGTTCTTCTTGATCTTGATCAGGCGGTGCTGCTGCACTGGCACCTCCAATATTGCTGACGATTTCCACGAACTCTTCAAAGCTCACATTTCCGTCGCCTAAAAGTGAGAAAAAAAAGAAAAGAAAAAACCAAAGTAGCATGTTCGTTCTGTGAAAATTTCTCTTACGGTTTTTTTACTCCACTCTTTCTCTCTTCTTCTTTTTCTCCCTCTCTCCATCACTCTCTCTCTCTCTCTCTCTCGCACTCTTTAGTAGAGATTTATTTTTCTTTCATTGCAATTTTTCCCCCATTTTAGAAGTGAAAATTTCTCATCGTTGAAATATTTTTTTTTTTTGTTAATATTTTCCGGTGTGAAATTCACATCTCTTGTGGAATTGTCGCTTTGTAAACTTTAAATGTATAAGTATTACGTATTTTTGTCATATAATGGTATCATTTTTCCATCACCGAACGAGTGAGACGAAGTATAACGTGACGTAATATTAGGGATCCGCTTGCATGCGACATGTCGTTGAAAGTATTGTGTGTGTATTTCCTATTATAACGTGATGTAAAAATTGTGCAGACAATATTTACAAAAAAAAGGGAGAAAAAAAAATATTATTCTCACATTTTTTGATGGATTTATTTTCCATTTTTGCGATAGAAAAAAAAAATTGTGAAATTGATTTAATATTTTCTCAAGGCAGATGGGGGAATTAATTTACATTTTATTTTCATGTCAATTTCAGTAAATTAATCTTGAAAATTGATCGACTATTTCATCGTTTTAACAAAATATAATAAAAATATAATACGAAAAATTAAATAATATATATATTTTTTGTATTTTTATACATCTTTAGTGAGAATTAATAAATTAACGTAACAAAAATGAAATTTTTATACTAAGAGTAACTTCTATCAGCTAATGTTATTGAATTTATACTTTTACAGTAGTAAAAGTCCAGTTTAGTCAGACAAAGTTTCGATTTCTCCATTCTATTTGTGGAAAAAAGATTGTAATTAGAATTAAAAAATTGACAAAAGAAATTAAAAAAAATTTACCAAAGTGGATTGTTACTACTTCTAATGATTGAATTTATATGTTCTTTGTAGTATAAAGACATTTCAGTCAGACAGAGAATTGAATTTTTTTTCAAATTAATGATAACAGAAATCGTTAATGAAAAATAACAAATTTACGAAACAAAAATGAAAATTATTTACTAATAGTAACTTTTACTACTCAATGTTACTGAATTTCAAATTTTACAGTAGTAAAAATCCAGTTTAGTCAGACAAAGATAATTAAATTCTTGTTTCAATCAATAAAAAAAATGTTGCAACAAGAATTTAAAAAATATTACAGAAGAAATATGAAAAATCTGGCCAAAGGGACAGTTTAAACTTCAAACAATATAGTTTCTATTTTCTCAGTAGTATAAATTCGTTTCAGTCAGACAAAGAATTAAATTTTTATGGAAAACATCTTTAGTGCAAATAAACAAATTTACGAAGAAAAATTGAAAACTTTTCAATAATAGTAAATTTTACGACTTAAAGTTATCGAATTTGTACTTTTGCAGTAGTAAAATTCCAGTTTGGTCAGACAAGATTTCGAATTCCCGATTCTATTAATAAATATAAAAAGATTGCAATTAGAATTTAAAAATTTACAGATTTATATATATGATTTATATGATTGATGATTGAATTTTTATTTTTTCAGTAGTATAACTCCGTTTCAGTCAGACAAATTATTTAATTTTTGTTAGAATTAGTCGTAAAGTACAATTTCTATTCAAAATTAAAGAATTTACATAAAAATTGGAAAAATGAAATTCAATGTCTGACTAAAGCAGACTGTTACTACTTTATATTTATAAAATTTATGTTCTTCAGTAGTATAAATCCATTACAGTCATACATTTACTAATGCAAAATTAAAAGTTTAACACCTTAATGTAATAGAAATGAGTTTTCTTCTAAATTTAATAATTCCGAATAAAAATTGCATTTGTCACGAATTTAAACAAAAATTCAAACTTTGGGTCTGACTAAAGTAGATTCTTACTACTTAAAAAGTAAAAATTCAGTAATATGTGCCGTAATATTTTTTTTTGTAATCAGATTTTTTAATGTCTTCTAAATTTATTATTTCTGACTGGAAATGACTTTTACTTCTAATTAAAATAATAATTAAAAAATTTGGTCCGACTTAAATGAATCTATTCTACTAAAAAATTCTAAATTTAAAAATATAAAGTAGTCATAAAGTAATTTAAGGTTCATTTTCTCTAATTTTATATATTTTGTATTTTTGACTAAAAATGTCTATTACTTATCAATTTTAATAAAAATTCAAATCTTGCCTGACTACAATGTATTTATACTACTGCAATAGTAAAAATTAAGTAATATAAAGTAGTAAAAATCATTTTTAGTCAGCCTCTTTTATTTTTTTTGATAAATTCTGTTATTCTGAATAGAGTGACAATGATATTAATAAAAATGCCTTAGTTATGTATTCTTGTACTTTTATCTAGTCTGACTTAAACTAGCTTTTACTACTTAAACTAAAAGTACTCGGGTTCATGTCACATCGGACCTTTATTGAATAAAATTCATAAAATTTATTAAAATTTATGATTTTCTTAGTCCTTTCCAACTAATATAAGTATTTCAAAAATTATTTTAACTACAAAAAAATTGACGAATTAAAAAAATTATAATTGCTCATTTTTTAAATTATTTTCTTCTTTTTCTATTTAATCTAAAAAGAAATTTTTTCTTCTTAATAATATTTTGCATTCTCATAGTTTTGAAGTAAAATTCACACATACAGCTAAAGAGTGTAATAAACTGGTGGGAAATTAAACTTAGTGAATATGAACGCTTTCGATTCATCGTCTTTAATTTTCATTTGAATTTTGGTAGGATACTCTCTTTCTCTCTCTCTCACTCACTCTCTTCGTTTCATTTGCAAGCAGCGTATCAAATATCCCTTTTCCCGAGGTGATATTATGTCCATAGTATATTTTACTATAGTGCATCAAAAAACAACTTGCGGTGCCGTGAATTTCTACGAATTGAGCATCATTGCTGAAGGCTTCCTTTTTGTCACTAAAAACTGGGTCACTGAGTTTTTTTTCAAACCTATATTTTAGAAAGCGATCAAACAAAAATCGAAAGATCAAAAAATTTCAAATAACTTTTTTTTTTTTTTGCATTACTCGCAAAATTAAAATCAATGTAGGAGAATGGAGGAATCTTCTTTTCAAATAGAATGTTGAAAATTTATATTCATACTCAAAAAGAAAGGACAAAAAATTTCAATAAAGAATTTTTCTTCCAATATTATTAATTATAATTTTGTTTTTATTTTAGAATTTTAATATTTTAGAATTTTATTTTATGAATTATAGTTTTCACTTATAAGTGCAATTTTGAATAAGATTAGTTTTTAATTGACGTGACTTTCAATTAAATTATTTATTAATTTCATTAATAACACAATTACTGCAATTCTACAATTGCTCTAAGTAATTGTAACAACAATTTTATAATTGTGACTATATTTTAATAATCGTAATTTTAATAATTATTTGTAATATATTACACTATACAATCATAATTTATATATAATTAATATAATTAATAGAAAGAATAAGAAACAAGAGAAGAGAAGAAAAAATAAGGGATGAAATGAGAAAAGGAAAAAGTCTAAAAACAAGAGAGGGAAGAATAAAATAATTTTTTAAAGAATAATTTATTAATTCAAAATTTATTGAAAAATTAAGAAAAAACTCATCTAAAATGAGAAGGGAAAAATTAAATTGAGAGAATTAAATAAATCAATAATGAGAGAGAAATTCAGCATTTTATAAATGAATCTCAAGGGATAATTATCCTATCTAGGACAATGAAGTTGACGACATTCTTGACGTTAGGATGGACCAATTATCTTTGATTATACTGCTGACCATTGAATCGTTCATGTATCCATGTCACTCAATGATAATTATCCTAGCTATTTAGATATAAAGATATAAAAAAGAGATTTTTAATTATCATTTTCAAAAAATTTAATTATCCACCCCCTTTAAAAAAATAGTACAGAGTAAAAAACTAATGATACTACCTGGCAAAAATATAATTTCAATAATTTTTTTATTTTCCTTCATTTAAACTTTTTTTCTCAATAGGTTAGGATAAAATTAAATGCGGAGAAATTTTTCAGCATATCATCAAATTTTTTTTCTCTTTTTTTGACCTTTGGAAAACGGCCAAAGAAAATCATATTTCCTATGACTAAATAAATTCCAAGTTAATTTCAAATAATTTAATTTAATCGATTGCTCAAGTGAATTAATTGAAAATGAAAAAAATTAACATTTGGAAAAATTTATTTTATTTGATTTGAAGAGTATTTTATTGGTAAGGAATGTCTATTTGAAAAGTAAAGTAGTTTATTAAAAATATCTGTTGAGGCCAAAGTGTTTTATTAAATTTGTTCTTTATATTTACTTTTTGAAAATATATGAATATAAATAAATCGATCGACTATTTCATCGTTTTTATTTATAAATAAATAAATTTTCTACTTGAGGGAAAAGTTTGTCTTTATAATTTTAATTTCAATTAATATTTTTTTCGAAAGAAGCCCAAAATCACTAGAAGTAATTTTAGTTGATTTTAAACTTGCTAACAAAATATTTTTTACACAGAAAAACTAAAAATCGCAAAGGATGCATTTCAGTAGTATAGGTCATTTTTAGTCAGACTTATCAAAGTTATGAAAACTAATTTAAATTAATTTTTTTTATTTCAATTATGTATTTTTTTTTTAAAGAGGAATGGAATATGTTCCAGAAATATAATGTTATTAATAAACTTCCTAGAAGAAAATAAAAATTTATAAATGTTAAAAATTTTTTTTTTTTCTTGAAGAAAATAGAGAGGAAAAATTTGAAAAAACGAGAAAAATCCCGTTATTTCCAGTGATTGGTTCTGTCGGGAATCAGTTTGAATTAGTCGATAGAATCCCGACATAAATTACCCCCAGCCTTTTCTTCATTCGGGTTCAATAATACTTAAGTTCTTCCTTTGCAGAAA